CAGACTATAAATAATAAACAAAATATCAATCAGTTATATATTAACTGAGATCATTGCTTTGAATAATTTAGAGCAGGGTAAGGGGGCCAAGAAATGGCAAGAGGAATGCTTTTTAAGAGTGGTCAAGATGAACCTCATTGCAAAAGGTGACTTCGGAACAAAGACTTACAGAAGATGAGAGGTGGATGTTGTTCCCCTGAGACAGAGGCCCCAAGGGGGGACTGTTCCTGGCAGGTTGGAAGAACCGGGGGGCAGGCATCAATAGTGTTGGGGAAAGTCTGAGCAGGCACCGGGGATCTCGTTGGCTATGGCAAAGCTTCTACTCTTTATTTTGAGGGACATGGGGGCATCGAGGGTGGGGCAGGATGTGATCCTAAGTGTTTAAAGGGTCACTCTGGCTGCTGTGTGGGGTATGGGGGGTAGAAGCTGGGAGCCATTTGAGGAATGGAGGTTCAAGGGGTCTCGCCTCAGGTTGTATGACCTGTGAATGCTGGAGCCAAAATTGGAATCCAGCTGGAACACCAGAGCTCATGCACTTTGCCCTGTGCCAGGCTCCTCTCTCTGCAGGGTGATGCCACATGGGGCTGGCCTCCCTGAGCCAGGTTCTGAGGCAGAATGGGATGGGCTGGGTTGTCATCCATTGTCCTTTCTCCGTGGTCCCTGGTGGTCTCCAGAAGGCCCCAAGCCAGGGAGTCTTCTCTTGCCTGGAAACCTGCACCAGGCTCACAGGGAGGTTTGGGAGGTGTGACGCCCCAGAAGCCAGGCCCAGCTCTGGGCACCAGGGGAGCCCGGGCATGCTGGGGCCTTGGCTGTGGTGGCGGGTTGCTAGGCGACTCGGAGAGGGAGCCCTGGTTACTGCTGCCTGGCAGAGGCGTCTCCTCCTCTGCCTCCCTCACCTCCTCCGTGGCCTCTGGCCTCCCAGGAGGCCTTGTGGGCGAGTTGTGATCCGTGCTTGCCACTGGATCTTGGCGAGGAGCTCTGATTGGTACCAGGTGGCTGGGCTCTGCGGAGGCAGTTTGGGCTACAGGGCCTGGGCATCCCTCATGGGGCACAGCCCTGGTGTACACCTGGTTCAGAGCCCAGCTTAGCAGTGAGAACCTTGATCCTTGCTCATCCTGGGCCATCTCCCTGAGTGATCCTGGAAAGGCACAGCACCCCTATAGGCCTCAACTACCCCATCTATCTGGCCTGCTCAGTCCCTTCCCCAGAGTCTTGTTTTCTATGAATGTGCAAGGGTGGGCAGGGATGTTAAGTTGGCAGAGCCTAGGTACCCCCCCATCCCCTATACTGCCCGATGATTTGAGTATGTAAGACTCAGGTTTTGCATTAGGTTCCATTTATGAAAAGAGTTCCACTGCTTTAAAAAAAAAATTAAAAACCTCTTGACTGGATGATACCAAGAACTTTGTGTCAAACTGAAAGGTACCCCAAGTATAGTAGATCTGTCTCATCCATTTAGAGGTAGGGGTACCGAGGCCCAGAGAGGAGGAGGAAATTGCCCCAGGTCAGGTTTGGCAGAGTGGAAAGAGTACCAAGCTGTGGGGCAGGAAGCCTGGGCTTGAGTCCGCACTCTGCTATTAGCTCCTGAGTGACCTTGGGCAAGTACTTCTCTTTTTTTTTTAATGCATACAAGAACTGGGGTACAGGCCAGAGGCACAGGAGTGAGAGGACTCACTAGAGTCAGAGTGGGGAGCAGAACAGGCAGATCGACTGAAATACAGTGCTGAGGGGAGCAGTGGGTGAGACAGGAAAGGTCTGCTGCACCACATAGGTCACTTCCCTGGCTGGGGATCGAACTCTTCCTGCAGTGGCTGTCCAGTGCTTCGTAGTACTGCGCTTTAAAACCCTTGCACCACCAGAAAGGGCCTGGGCAAGTCCTTTTCCCTGGATTGGACCTGCAGTGGTTTCAGGTTGGGGCTCAAGCTCTCAGGAATACATACTGGGCCAGGAAACAGTGGGGAGGCTGCAAGCTTTCAGTGATTTGGAGCAAATATTTTTTTTTTAAGATTTATTTATTTATGCATACAAAACTGGGGTACAAGCCAGAGGTTGGGGGGTGAAAGGATTCACCAGAGACAGAGTGGGGAGCAGATCAAGGAAGCACACTGCTGAGGGGAGCAGCGCGCGGGTCAGGAGAGGTCTGCTGTGCCATGTGGTCACCTCCGGGGCAGGCGGGGATCAAACTCATGCTGAAGTGGCTTTAGCTTCTTAGTGCTGTGCTTTAACCCGCTGCACCACCAGGGAGGGCCCAGAGCAAGTGTTTTTTAGGGGACCTTGAGGTATTTTTATATCCAGAAAATGTCGATGTGTTATGAAGTACAATGTAAAATAACCTTAAATTCTATAAAAGAGAAGACTTACAGGAAAATCTGACCTTGCAACATGACCCCCATCACCCCAGGCTGCCCACTTCTGGGGTACTTTACATGAAAAGTGTGAGAAGCCCTGGAGTACTGGCTTCCTAAGATTCTGTGGAAGTTCTCTGGCTTGTTTCTCTCCCATGGTGGAGTGCGATGTCCTTTAGTCTTGGAGACTAACCTGAAACCAGTACCCGACTCTGCCATTTAAGCTGTGTGACACTGGCCACTTATATAACCTCTCTGAGCCTCACTCTCCTCATCCTGGGATAGGAATCACAATCCCTGACTTGTATGGAGTCTGACAGAATGATTAGTGAGATAAAGTACTTACAACAACCCAAACTTGAATAGGCAGGTACTGAGTAAGTGCTGGTGCTTGGCAATGCCTTCCTCCTCCCCACACCTCCCTGCTGGCACACAGTGACATTGATAGGGAAGTGTGGCCTGACTGACCTCCAGCTGGAGAAATAGGAGGGGGAGAATCTGGTAAGCCAGATACTCCCAGAGGGGAGGCGAACATAGGCCTCCCAGGCCCCTGATCACAGGTGTGGGGGAGGGGCTGGGGAGCCAGGTGCAGGGGCGGGAGCAAGGAGGGGTATCTACTTGAGGGAGCACCACTCCCTGGAGGTCCAGCTCCCCTCCCTCTGGGCCCCAGGAGAAGCCAGGCAGGGCAAGGCTGGGAGGGGCCTTGCAGCCCCAGCTGTCTGCTCACAAGACAAGAAAGCGCCAGCTATAGGGAGCCTTAGAGAATCAGGCTGGTACCCTGAAGCTGGAGGTAAGAAGTGGAGGGTATTGCAGGAAGGATGTTTCTGCCTGGAGGTTGGTGGGAAGGAGGCAGGAAGGAGAGCCCTCCGGGCTCCGGGTGACAGGCTAGGCAATCAGTGAGTTCAGAGCAGGTCCGTGTGTTGGGCAGGATACCAGGGATACCTGGTGTGGCTGCCCATGGGACTGTGGGCAATTTCCATCATGCCTCTGGGTCTCTGTTCCCTGGTCCATGAGGTGGGGTAATGCCAGCTGCCCAGAGTTGCTGGTGCCCAACATAGTTATACTCAGGGCTAGATAGAAAGGGTGTAGAGACAGCAGATCTGTGGGGTGATCTAAGAGGTGAGGTCTTCTGCAAGTGTACTGGTTGCATTCACTAAACACATACCCCACACATTATTTCAGGTAGTAGGCTGAGGTGCTTCCTGAATGGCACTCACTGCTTTTAGTGTATCGAGGCCCTAAAGCTCACAGAGGTTGGTCAGTTCCTCATCTCATAGCTAGGTGACTGAAAAGGGCCAGGCATCCTGCCCAGTTCCAGGCCCATGCTGTGTCCACAGCAGTGTCTGAGGCAGAAGGTCAAGGCCACCATTTGGGAGGTTCCAGAGGTGGGTGTGGCTGCCCCAGCAGAGGTTCGGCTCCTTCAGACTCCTGTAGGGAGCCAGGTCATTCCAGCTGTGACTGTCCTGCCTTCCTGTATCTCAGGACAGGCCTGGCAAAAGCAGGCTGTGACATGGGGAGTAGCAGAGACCTGCACAGCAGACATTTAGAAAAGGACATGTGCATGGGTGACAAAGGCAAAGTTTAGGGTGTACCCAGGAGCAGCAGAAAGGGCTAATGTAGCCCAGGACAAGCCATTTCACCTGAGTCTTGACTATACATGGAATTTATGCTACCCGCTTTGTGGGGATTTCATGAATATTCCATCAAGAAGGGGCTTTGCTAGCAGAGGTATTCTGCTTCAGATGGGCCCAATGAGGAGGGGGGACTGCACCCCAAAGGAAAGCCTAGGGAGCTGGACTGGCCTGAAGGTGGGCACTGAACAGAGATGGGATCTGGGGTCTCCGTAACCAATGGATGTGCTTTGAGGGGCTTGCTAGAATCCTAGGCCTCTGTGGGGTTCACAGGAGCTCAAAGAGTTGGGGTAAATCTCTGAAAAATCTCAGGCCTGTGCTCATCTTGAGGACCCTCAGTCTATTCAGCTTTTCCTGGCCAGGCCCTCCCAGCAAAGGGTTAACAGTCTTCTCTACCTGCAGTTGCATTTTAAAGACACGAAATTAAAGCAGGTAATTTATTCTCCCCACACACGAAAGAGCAATTAGTTCTAAACAGGGCTTAATCAGTCACCGCGAGATTGATTTCTGGAGCCCTGGGTTTTCGGGCTCCTGGCACCATGCCAGGCTGGGGAGGGAGGGGGCAGACAAATGAGCCGCGTTGGCATGAACCCTTACATAATCTGCTGGGGGGCCCAGACAGCCTGGCTAACTCCAGGTGGGGCTTGGCTGAGTTGGGGGGTGGGGGTGGATCTTGCTCCCTCCTGCAGCCACCTTAAGAGTAGCTCGCAGGGTACATCCTAGGCCTCCAGAGAACAGCTAGGCCAAAGCTCCAGCCCCACCCACTGGGCAGCATCAGCTGGGGGCTTGGCAGAGGGAAAAGGTGGTGTGGTTCTGGGGTCAGGGTGGGTGCTCTGGGTTTATCCAACCTGGTACTTAACACCTGTTTCCCGCTACCCTGTTTCCCCCATTCACCCTCTGACCTTCCCTCTTTCCTGTGCTGCCTCTTCTTCCTCTTATCCCTCACTTTTCTCTGTTTTCTCTCTTTCCCCCACGGCCTCCTGTCCTCCCACTCCCCCACCTGTGTCCTTGTCTCTGGCCACAGAACTCCATCCGGCACAACCTGTCGCTGCACACCCGTTTCATCCGCGTGCAGAATGAGGGCACAGGAAAGAGCTCCTGGTGGATGCTGAACCCTGAGGGTGGAAAGACCGGCAAGACCCCGCGGCGCAGGGCCGTGTCCATGGACAATGGTGCCAAGTTCCTGCGCATCAAGGGCAAAGCCAGCAAGAAAAAACAGCTGCAGGCACCTGAGCGAAGCCCCGACCACAGCCCCCCCGGGGCAGCCGCGCCCGGGCCCCTGCCTGCTGCAGCCAAGTGGGCCACCAGCCCGGCCTCGCATGCTAGCGACGACTACGAGGCGTGGGCTGACTTCCGCGGTGGCGGGAGACCCCTGCTCGCAGAGGCAGCTGAATTGGAGGACGACGAGGCCCTGGAGGCCCTGGCGCCATCCTCTCCGCTCATGTACCCGAGCCCTGCGAGTGCTCTGTCCCCGGTGCTAGGCGCGCGCTGCCCCGGGGAGCTGCCCCGCCTGGCCGAGCTAGGCGGCCCGCTGGGCCTGCACGGCGGTAGCGCGGGGCTGCCGGACGCCCTGCTGGACGGCGCGCAGGACACTTATGGGCCGCGGGCTCGCGCCGGGACTCCCGCCTACTTCGGAGGCTGCAAGGGCGGCGCCTATGGCGGGGGCGGAGGCTTCGGGCCGCCTGCGCTGGGCACGCTGCGCCGCCTGCCCATGCAGACCATCCAGGAGAACAAGCAGGCTAGCTTCGCGCCGGCCGCTGCGCCCTTCCGACCCGGGGCTCTGCCCGCGCTGCTGCCGCCAGCCCTGCCCGCAGGGGAGCACTGCGAGGTGGACGCCCGCGCCGGCCGCTGCGCCCTGGGCGTGTGCAGGAACGGGGGCACCTGCGTGAACCTGCTCGTCGGCGGCTTCCACTGCCTGTGCCCGCCGGGCGCCTTCGAGAGCCCGTTCTGCGCCGTGGCCACGCGCAGCTTCCCGCCCCGCTCCTTCGCCACCTTCCGGGGCCTGCGCCAGCGCTTCCAC